TAATAGCAAATACTACAGAAAGGTAAATAATAATTTTTAGGCAATTAAACTGTCAAAAAATATTATAAAATTAGTTAATTTAAAATGTTTTTAGGTATTATTGTTCAACCATTAAAAAAAGTTAATTAATCGTTATACTTTTTGACCTTGGCAAATTTTCGGCTGCGTTCCCAGTTCGGGCATATGCAATTGGGAATGCTTATTTATTCCTTATCTTTATTAATACTTTCAAATGCCGCTTTAGGCAAGATAAATTGGGAAGAACATCACAATAACTCGGAATTACTTAAAATATTGTCATATGTCAACTCTCGGTGCCCAGATATTACCCATGTATATCATCTAAGAGATGATGATCGTGAAACAACTGTTGAAGGAAATAAGCTTTATGTAATTGCACTTGGAATTGAGCCAAGAAAGCATCAGATAGGTACGTAATATTTTTGAAAATAACGTATTCTACAGGCATACCAGAATTTAAATATGTAGCCAATATGCACGGAAACGAAGTGGTTGGCAGAGAACTCCTTTTAAGACTTGCATATGACATATGCAACAAATATCTTGAACAGAACCCAACTATTATAAATATATTGAAAACAACTCGTATCCATCTAATGCCATCCATGAATCCAGATGGTTGGGATAAAGCTAAGGATAAGGTATATAACTTCTCAAGGAGCATAATATCGAAGGATCAAGCTATTATTTTAGGAAGAGCAAACGGAAACAACGTTGACTTAAATAGAAACTTTCCAGATCTGGACTCAATTGCATATGAAAATATGAAATACGGTGGTCCATTAGATCACTTAATGAGCGATGAGTTACTGAATACAAATCAAGTGCAATTCATAAATTATCAATTAATAACTTTATTTATAAGCTTTTATTATTTTACATTTTCGACACAGCACAATTTTATATTTTTATATGCCAATATATTTAAAAATTATAACTATATAGTCACATTAATTTGCTTATTCTTTCTAAATCTTTATTGATTTGCTTTTAAAGGCCATGTAATAATCTTACTAATTGCTCTCTTGAAAAGCTTTAAGCGCAAAAATGGTTTTTACAATTAAATAGAAGAACTTGGAGTTTTATTATTATTCTGTGTATTTGAATATCGTAAACAATAAAACTTTTACAGCTTCAGCCAGAAACATTGCTTATCATGAGATGGATTAAGGAAATTCCCTTTGTACTTTCTGCAAACCTACATGGAGGAGATGTCGTTGCCAATTATCCATACGATAAGTCTATGTTTGGGGACTCACAATTCACTCCAACAGCGGATCAGGATATTTTTGTGTAAGAAAAATAGGAGATGTATGGTCACAGTCTCTTTTTTTTGTATAGAAGTTATTTGACCTTTTTTCGAAACTTGGTCATATTGGAAGGAAGAGCTAGAGGAGTGCACCTTTTCCTAAGTCAAAATTAATCATCATAATTACCATAGTCGGACCGTAGACTTGGTACATTCCTAGATGCTTCGTCGGCATCGTCAGTGAGCCTCGCCATTCTTATCACCACACTAAATTCGTCAAATAGACAATTGAAGTCGATACTTTAACAAAATGTACGCTAAAAAGTTGTGGCAACTCTCCTGTCCTGGGCTATCCACCTATCCTATATCCTCATACCACCCCTTCAATATCTAAACCTATTTGAAATATATTCACACTATCTAATGATTTTCTTCATTCCTTATACTATGCTGGGAGTTTTGATACAAGACCGCAGTTTAATCTGCAATCCTCTCTCTCCGGGTCCCACAGACTCCCCTCTTGCTCCATAGGATCCTTCCCTTATATCCCTGTTTCAGTGATTTCACTCCACTGCTGCCTCCGTATCCGTGCTACTCAAGGCATTGTTCTACATTCTCCATCAATCCTTTGACAGCACATATACACCAGCCTTTCTGAGAAGCCCCTAAAATCTGGATTCTTATTTTGTATGTCAACCTAACTTGATGCTGGATATTCCCTTATAGCTATGTGGCCTGTGCACCG